AGTCAAAAGGAAAGAGTAAAGTGGCTTAGAAGTGGAATGGGGTCTTTGATTGTAGTTTTCACTGAAGGCAAAAGAAGAAATGGGTCTAGTGCCTGAACGATTTCATTCTTTTTGTCTTTTTACAAAAAAAACGTCAGAGGTGAAAGTTGTTCAACGAGTGCTTCACAAATTCTTTGTTGTGAATTATTTGTAATATAGTATTTGGGTAAATTCTTTTTAACATGTAGTATTTTGGTAAAAAATTTTTTTACCGTTTCTAGTATTTTACTAATAAATTAAAAATGCATGTCAAAGATAGTAAATAGAGATCTAAAAGAATTGGCAAGGAAGAAAATACATTCCAGGTTGACCGAATTGATAACTATTTGTCTATATTCCTTACGGTCTATTCATAGTTCAAGCAAAAATTTTGCATTCAAAGAAAGCATGATCACAAAATTAATGCTTTAAGAGCTAAATCCATTTCATAGAACATATTAAAACAGAATAATAGAACGGTAGCCATGAAGCTGTTGGGCACAAATTTGTATAGTTTTGACGATGAAGCTTTTGGAGTCAGCTCAAGCCTATTCTTAACGTGTTCATAAACCGCGCTGCTCTCTGACACTCTGCAAACTTATTTATTCTCGAGGAACATAATTAAACAGCAACATCTCAGCACATTTTAACATTTGATTTTTTTTTTTAATAGGAAGTAGAAAATTTGTTGAGGCCAGCATCCAATGGCATCGAAAGTAAAGGTGATTTTGGTGAATTATGAAAACCAATAAAGGAGATTCCTTTCAAGTCTCAAACATGAATCAATACAGACGTGGAAGTTAGGAAAATCTTGTTTGATGATAATCAGAGTTAAGTTGATACTTGTGATCTTATGATCAGCTGTTACAAATTTTAACTTGGGACTTAAAAAATACAGTGTATTTTGAAGTCTCAATTTGAGGGCTTTAACAGGCTAAACAGTGTAAATACGGACTCTAGGGTTGGAAAAATTTTAATACTACCTTATTGGGATATATGATTATAGTTAGTTTTCCTTTGTGTTTTAGATATTGCACAGGTTCGCATGCAAGAGCCTGATTTAGCTTAGAACCTACATCAGATTAAATGGATGAAGTATTTTTTTTCACACTTTTATTCTGTTGTTTATTGCGTGTTTGTTGTTCATCAGGTTGTTTTCTGCAGTGGTATTGGGCTTGATGTATGAAGCAATATTGCCTTTTATGTTTGTGTCCTTGTTTCTTACTCACTGTGTTGTTTAAAGCACAATTCTAATTCAAGTAGAAAAGATATTTTGTTGGCCAAAAATGGTGCAGAGTAGTTTTGTGTGGAAATTATATTAAATTTATTATGTATTTTCATATAATTATACTATTACTATTTGAAACCTCTCTACTCAGAATTAAAAGAAGTCATGCAGAAATTAGTCATCTACAGTATCAACTTGTGCATGGAGTTATGTACAGCAGCTAGGCAGGCATATTTTCTATCCCAAGTTATTTTTTTACTTAATCAGCCTAATAATCACAAATTTATTAGAAACATTATGTGCAAAATAATAAGAGTTTTGAAACTCTACTTCTTGCTTTGACTTTGCAAAATGATTATATTCTGTGAACTTGAGAGATTTAAGCATCCATATTGAAGGAATGTAAAATTCATTGATGGATTATTTCCCTTGATACACAGTAATGTTTTGCAATCGAATCATGATTGGACTAGGGGAAAATAGTAATTAAGACCTTGATCATCTCGTACTATTTTCTTGAGTTTCTTAAACTCATCAAAATTTTTATCAACAGTACCACTCAGCTTATGATTGAAGAAGATATAAATGTCACTAGTGTATAGGATGCATTTTTCTTTGAAAGAAAATTGTAAAATCAAAATGAAGGGAGAATTACAATAAGATCTCAAAGAAAGAAAATAATTACCAGTAAATCCTAATGACAAGTGAATAGTAGTCATTTACTATCTTAGAGCTTGTCATTATAAGGCTGCTCATGTTATCACTGGGACTTTTTAGTGATTATATTCTTTGCTTGAGACTCATAATAATTCTCCCTAAAAGGAAAATAAAAAAGACAAGGGATTCTTAACACAGCATTTGTAGGAGGGTCACATTCACACGCTATGCAACAATAAATTCTTACTGGAAGAAATTCTTCCCTGTTTTAATCAGTACTCCCTTGTGTTCTTATTATAACATTTAAATAATTAATTTTCATGTATCAAAAAATTAATTAAAAGTAACAAATAGCTAAAAAATATATTTTTGTTTGCTCTTATAATAAAGGAGAAAAAAAGATGAAAGAGAATATATGAAAAAATATCATAAAGAGGGAGTGACAAAGGAGGAGAATAAATTCATTAAAGGCAAAATGGAAAAAATGTATTAAATGGAGAAAAAGTTTTGCCTTCCTTCTTCGGACAGCCAAATCCAATTCATTTATCATATTTCAAACATCAATACTTACAGAAACAATTAAAGAAGAAGAAAAAGAGGGCTCACCTACGAACAAAACAGAGATGCGGCGGAACAGAGGAAAGCGCACAGAGCAATGCCAAATTCAAACGAATCACTAAGAAGCAGCAAGGAAAGAAGAAACAAGAGGCGAACTGCTCACCTCACACCATCAAGGTGACGGACGGCAATGGCAGGAGGAGAAAAATGAGGATGATTTCTCAAGAATAGTAAGCAAAGAAGAGGCCGACGGCGGAAGGAGAACGGCGCAACCACCGCGGCAGTGAATATAAGGAGGATGGAGGTTGACAGGAACTGCGGCTGAGATCCCCTTTTTCTAATTCTCCATAGGTTGCTTCTCTCTTTTTCTCCACTCCCTTTAGCGTAACAAGCCGAGAAAAATTAATTAAGTTGATTAATTATAAGAAATATGTGCTGACTTTTTTAAATTATTCTTTTTAATCATGTTCACAGGAACTATCATTTGATAGAAACGACGCCTTATGATCGATAAGGATCTTTTAGAACAAAAATAATAAATTTGAGAGACAAAATAATTGAGGTCTTACATTTAGGACCAAATTCTAACTCTTATATTAAGAACCAGAGACACAGTATTTTACATTACTTTTAAGGCCATTACAGGATTTTTGCCATCTTTGAACATTTCTACACAACACAGGCCATTCGCACTTGCTTACAACAAAACAAGAACAGTGAATATGCATAATAGATAGTTGACCTATGGCCATTGGATCGTATATATATTAATACTTCCTCCTGAATCCTTTTCTATAGTCCTTAATACATAAAAATGACGTAACAACCTTCTTCATAGATTATATTAAATTAATGTATCAGGAAAATTTTAAATATCCATCAAGCATGCATTAATATAAAATATAAATTTTAATCTAAAACCAGAAGGCTTGATCTACGTACCTTGGAAGGATAGACTCATCTTCTTCAACAACGGACTGATCATGATGTCTGGAGCATTGAGTATAACCTCCGTATTTCTCAACGTCGGTTCGTGTAACATCAGTAGCCTGCAATATTTCCATCATTGTCTCAGGGCCCAGGATTTGCAGACCCATTGCCCCATTAAGTGCTCTTTTAGCAAGTAAATAAGCAATGCCATTGCCGTCCCTGTGAAAGACCTGGATATCCACAAACCAATCCCACTCTAGCATCCCTTTGATTTCCATGATGAGAGCAATATCCTTGTGCGTCTCAGGGACTTCAAATTTGATCAATCGAACAGCCTCAGCGGAGTCGCTTCTGAAGACAACACCTCTAATACCAGTGTCCCAAGCACTTTTGAGACCCATCAAGCAACCCCATAGTTTGGCTGTGAGGGTATCTCCGCCGCTTAATTTCAGAAGAAAAGCCTCCTTCATACAATTGTTGCCATCTTTAAGAACGCCTCCACAAGCTGCTTTGTCATCTGAATGAGAATAGGCGCCATCCACTTCTACAATACCATCATCAGGTCTCGGCCGGGGACTATAACCTCCACTGTTGATGTCTGGATCAATCGTCACGTAGTTATTGATGATACTACAACCTTCGTCCCCTGTTCTTCGCCATGCTTCAACATCTTCTTTACACACCGCTCGCCACCCACACTTGCTTATTTTCATCCTTGGTGACTTATTTTCCATTGCATTCTTAGAGAAAAATACCATTTGAAGTCCATTGACAACCAAAGAGGAATAAGGAATATATGTTATATAAAGCAGAGGACTCATAGCCGGACGTAGATAAATACCATCCCGACAATGCGAGTTTGGAAATTCATCATTAGGAAATCTGAAACTCCAACAAATTTTATCCCACTCCTCTCCAAATGTGAGATCGTGTTCTATGAGTAAGCATATGGCTATGCCCCACCATTCACGTGAACCACAATAATCAGGGGATATATTTATTATGAACGACACATTATTTGGACGCCACCAGAATTCTTTCGCGCAAAAGTAGTTTTGATTATAAAACCATGATGGTACTCTGCTGCCTGGAATTGTTAATGAGTGCGAACGTGGACGAAGGGATAAAAACTGGGGCAAAAAAAAGCAAAAAAAAAAAAACAGATTGTTTGTATCAGAAGTATGTTGATTAACACGTAAGAAATGGCAATATATACGTACAAGTAAAATAAACTATATATTTATTGTCAAAGAAATTAAGAAAAAAATAGGTGATTCTAAAAACTCACAATTTCTGAATCCCCTCTTATAATTGCTGACTTCATATTTAAATGGTTGTGAACCTATAAGAAACAATTTTGCGTGTTAAAGAAGTAAAATGATAGAGGTGAAAGAACAATTAAAGACAAATAAAATAAACCTGAGGTTGAAATGATTCAATGAAATCCCATAATTGATCTGCACATCCGTAATGTTTTAGTGATGAACAACCTTCAGCCCCTATTTGTAATAGATTTGACGGAAGTTGCGGCAAAGACCGAAGCCTTGGGCAACTCCAGAGAGCAATACCTTTAAGCTTCGATAGACTGGAAATGAGGCCAGATGGTAAGTCAATGAAATCGTATCCCGTTAGATCTAAAATTTCCAATGATGATAACATGCTGATGTCATCAGGAAGTGATCCATCTTGGAGATTGCAAAAACTTAAGTTTAATCCTTTCAAGAACGACAAAGACGGCGGCAACAAAAACTTTTTGGAGCTTGAAGGCCTTTGAAGAACGGATAAGCAACTCCATGATGATGAAGATTGTGTTTCGCTATTGTAGTCACTAAATGATAACCCTTGTATAGCAATCCCACTCAAATCCAGCTTTTCCAAAGCTTCATTTTCATTCAAATTCTCTGGCAGCCATGAAAGCTTTGAGCATTTAGAAATTTTGATAACTTTCAGAGCTTTCAACTTGCTAACACTACATGGAAGACAAACCAGCTTTTTGCAGTTTGTCAAATTTAATTCAACGAGACCAATCAAATTACCCAACGATTGAGGTAGTTTGGCTAGAGCAGTCTTCTCTAAATCAAGCTTCGATAGACATGCCATATCTTTTCCAAACTCAGGAAGTTTCTTAACTTTTGAACAACCCGATAGAATAAAAGTCTCCAAGCTATTCATCTCAAATTTTTCTGGAAGCGTTTTAACTTCTTTGCAATCTTTCAAGTCAACAATGACAAGTTTCTTGTGTTGCCCAAGAGAGTGGGGAATTTCAACCAAGTTAGAACACCCTTCAAGAATCAACTTTTCAAGATGAGGAATTCCATCAAAATTTGGGACTTTGACGAGGCATTTTGAATGAGATAGATCGAGGGACTTTAGGCTTGGGAGAGACTAACAATAGAAAAATTGAAAACAGTAAGCCCTCAAAACTAAACATTAATTATAATTATAATTTATTAAATTATGGAGAAAGAATTTAAATGAAAGGATCATAATTACCTGTGTTCCTCTCCAAAGTTTTTTTAATTTGCTGTGCTGCATTTTTAGTACTACAAGCTCATAGAGTTGAGGCTGATTGGGCAAATAAAATAATGGATACCTCACCCATTCTATGACTCTCAAGTCGCTAGAAAGGGACTTGAGCCCATGCGGAAGATTTAATTGACAATGTGAAACATGTGAGCGACTTGAAATCATAAGTAACCTAAGATTACTCATCTTTGAGAAGGATTTAGGATCCCAGAATGCATCACATGACTTTTCCAATGTTAGCGCTATTCCTCGAATTGCTTCTGTCCCCTATAAAACAACAAGCCAAGGTCAAAATGTTTGTGAAAGTTATGGAATATATTGATATTAAAAAGCACATAAACACAAGAACGTTGGAATAATGTCACCTTATTTCCTTTTAGTACTTGATTGGCATCCTCCAAAGACAATATCCTGGAACGCTTGCCAGCATCATAATGTGATTCTTGATAGACAATATATTTACACATATCTTAGAGAACTTGATGCACCCACAAATGCCCTTCATAACTAATCATTAGTGATTTCTTAATGAGAACATTTATCTCAGTTTCTGGGCGAAAATCCTTATCCAAAGTTTCTAAAATTTGTATGACATGATCTTTGTCCATCCCATTGAAAAAGCAAGCAACATCCAGGAATATGGTTTTCTGCTGATCATCCAGTCCATCAAAACTCACCTGAAGTATCTTCAAAATGTCCTTTGGAGGAATTTTCTTGAGCTTAGCTAGTTCATCCTTCCATTCCACTATAGGTCTTTTGCAAAGAGATGAACCTAACACTATGAGCACTAAAGGAAGGCCTCTAGCATACTCAATGACGGTTCTAGCAAGTTTCAAATAATCTTCATTAGGATGCTCTTCTTTAAAAGCTTTTTCAAGGAAAAGTTCAAGGGACTCGTTATAACTCAATAATTTGAATTCATACACAGCAGATACACTATGTAATGATAACAAATGCTTATCCCTAGTTGTTATTATTATTATGCTCCCTTCTCTGAACCATCCTTTCTTTGGAGCCAAATTTTCAAGTTGCCTAATATCACTCACATCGTCAAGGACAAGTAGAATTTTTCTGTCAGTCAACTTGCTTTTTATTAACTCCATTCCTTCATAAAAGTCAGCCACTTCCATACTCTTTTTATCTAGAGAAGAAAGAAGTTTTCTTGGCAATGAAATCAAACCTTCTTTTTCCCATGCCTCTCTAATATTATCAAGGAAGCAGTGAATCTCAAAGTTTTTGCGCTCTCGCTCCTGCTCATAAAAGGCTCTAGCAAGAGTTGTTTTGCCTACACCTCCTGTGCCCCATATTCCTATAAACCCAACTCCTTCTGATTCACTTGCAACGATTGACTTCAGTTTGTCTAATTTTGGTCCAATTCCAATTAACTTGCCATGACCAAATGCTGATTTATCAAGTAACTTTGACCCCATTTCTTCAACAATGCTTTCAATGAATTCGCTTTCATACCTGCATATGAAAATAAAATTATAAAATGATTTTTTTAACATGAAAATAGCGTGATGGTTTTTAGTCAATTGAATTTTAAAGCTCTTGCATAAACAATAAAAAATACTTAATGTGAGATGTAAAGAAAAACATGACCACAAATGTAGCAATCATAAGTTTTCCGTGAACCTTAGTTTGACTTAGTGGGGATAGGAGATAACTATTTGCAGATATACACGATTATGTTGTGTGTGTCCACACACTTTACTATAACTCCTAGATATTGAAGTTACTTAATTAATACATTATAGGTTGAGTTTCCTTTTTTTTTTTTGGCAATACATTTTATTATTTGAATAGTTTTTCTTAATTTTATTTAAGCAACATTTCACAAGAGTTCAAATCTAATGCTACACGGTAACGTCTTCAACTATCAAAAAATAATAACAACTATTAATTATTTAGAGAAATTATAAATTATAAATTATTGAATTACATAATAATAATTATTATGTAATTTTACTAATATATATTCAAGAAAATGACCATTTCAGAATTATATCATTAATTGAATTCGATTGGAAAACCTAGATCATGTGCAACCTAGTGCTACAAGTCTACTTTACCAGCAACTAAAAATACAAGTCTATAACGGACAAAAATGAGTGAAATACTAAGGGGAAAAAAAATCTAGCAGTGGTTATAGTTTTATATGATTTTGAATCTGGTCCTTCTAGTTTTTTTAACCTTTTTATGGAATTTTTATACTCCTCTGATCCTATTTATAAGGTACTTCCAGCATGTTTCACACAGACAAAAAAAAACCTTAAACTTCGTTAAATCTCATTTAAAATTTAATAATTATTTAAATTTATCCATATTTAATATATATTATACATGAAGGGTAAAATTAAATATCTATACAAAATATTTCTCGTAATACTCAATAAATAGAATTAAAAAATATCTTCTCTCTTGTCTTGTAAATACGAACAGGGGAGCAATTTATTACATTAAATGAGCAAGTCGTTCTGTTAAAAATACTCCCAACGCGGTTAATGCTGTGGTGACATGGCATTGAAAAGGCTGCATGACTTGCATTCTCTTCTTCCTAGCGAAAGCTTGCGGCTCTCACTCACTCTTCTCCCTCAAGGGCCAACCAAACCAGTCTCATGCCGAGAAGGATAAGAAAGGCTTAAATTGTATTCACCTCTCCATTAGCATCAACGCACTGCTTCTATGCCGTTGGGGATATATATATATATATATATATGTAAACAAATTCATACACCTCAATGATATTAAAGGCATTTTAACCGCGTAGATATGAAGCCGACAGTAGAACGTCAAATATGGAGATGTTTTCAACTTCTTCAATGAGCTGACTTCGAATGTTGTCACACCGATAGAAGCATTTCTAATAGAAGCAACAAAGAACGGGGCAAACCCCGCCGCCACAGCCGAAAAAGAAGCTCCGATGGCCATTATCACTCCGGAATGCCGAATCCCAATATTCTTCTCCTTATCAACTAGTGTGGTCGGCCCTTGATTAATTTGTGTGAGAGAGAGAGAGAGAGAGAGCCACAAGCTTTTACGTGGAAGAAAGCAAAAGTTCATTACCGGCGTTGGAAAGAAAGAGAAAGCAAGCCTTTTTAATGCCATGTCACGTAACACTAATATCATTGAGAGTATTTTTTACGGAAAGACTTGCTCATTTAATGTGATAAATCATAAAAATTTCATTAAAAAAAAAACTACAGGGGACCTAACTCAAAATCAAATAAAATTATAAAAACTACTACGTTCGTTTTTCCAATTCCTAATCACCCCTTCTGTTTTATCAGAAACATCGCATCTGTTTTAAAAACATACCTAAGCTTCCATTCAAATTGCAATGTATCCTACACAGCCCTCTCTTATATATTTGAGATTTTACTTTCATCTATCTAATAGTTAGTTGATGGTTAAATTTAACTTTTAAGCTTTTGCTTTGACCAAAATACCTTTATTTAGCATAAAATTATTTAAATATTTATATTTGTGAAAAGCATAATTTTTTATAATAGGAAATAATTCTACTGCATGAGTTTTCAAACATTATAATATGTTATCATATTAATTAATTATTAATTTTGATTATATAATGAAATTGTATAATTTTATTTTTTTTCATTGCATGTATTGATATATATTTATTTAGATTTCTTTTAAATGTCTAAGATCATATTTCAAAAGCTTATTTTATTCATAATACATATAATAAATAATTTCAGTTTATGAGATTATATTAATAACTTAAATTTTTAATTTAAAATTTTTAAACTATTTTTGTAATAAACTTTTATAAACACATTTTTTTGGAGTGAACTTATAAAGACACTTAGTGAACTGTATCTTTATTAAAGGAATTACTGAAATTCTTAATTAAGCTTTTTATATCTATAACAATTACATTACTTAAGCTTTTATTCCAACATGATAAAAACATTAGAAAAATATTTATTTGCAGGAGAATTTTATCCAAAATTAGGAATTTAGTATGATGAAGGATAAATTAGTAAATAAATATCATTCCAGTACAAATTTTTAATTAAAAACATCTTTTTAAAATACTCTCAGCAAAATTAACCATTTAAATTTAAGTGTATGTTTTCAAAATAGATAATAAGTAAATGTAATTAAAATAAAATGGATTAAAATATTCTAGTTTTAAGTAAATAATATTTATAATACTTGTTAGTTAAAGCTTCAAGCAGTCCACCTCCTACCCATTTTAGGGAGGGAAGGGATTAGAGTATATTTGAATATGTATGCCCTTATTTCTCAACAAAAAAAGAGAGATGATAATTATTGAGAGAAGTGGAAATTACCGATCTTTTGAGTCCCAACCAGATAAAGTAGCTACTTTTTCTAAAGCATCTCTCCACTTTTGCACCTTTATTTTGTTTTTGGCAAATCTTTCTTCATGCTTTCTGAATGCTTCTGCAAAACTTCCTTTTTGTTTCCTAACATCAGAAGGATCTACGCCGTAAAATATGAGAAATACTTGAAGACTTGTCTTTTCTTTTAACTGCAGAATCTTTTGAAGCTCATCCAAACACCAAGTTGAAGAAGCATAATTTGGGGAGAGCACAACAATTGCAGAACGAGACTCTTCAATTGCTTGTATTAAACTTGGATTAATAGATTCTCCCCTTTCAAGTTCTTCTTCATCCCTGAAAGTTTTTAATCCTTTGCATTTTAAAGCAGCATACAAATGATCAGTAAAATTTTTCCGAGTATCTTCCCCTCGAAAACTCAAAAACACATGATACTTCCTTCTCTTGGTTGAACCAGAAGAACTTGAAGAGCACCCAACTCCGTCAGCATCATGCGCCATTGCAACGCAAGGATTAGGAATCTGAACCCAAGTACAAAAGTAAAAACACAAAAACAGAAAGAATAATACATATATAGTAGGAGCTTCAAGAAACAGTGCAGCAATCAGTGAGGGGGATACTGAAGACGGAAGAAATTGCACCAATTTATGATGATTTGATCAGGCTAAATATATGAGAGGCGTGATTTGATCCAGCCTGCTATGAATCTGGCAAAACTTTGAGGCAGAACATAAATCTAACTCGCAGATTCACAAGTTCATGAAAATTCCAAAGATAGTCTAAAAGAATTGGCAAGGAAGAAAATAGATCCCAGGTTAATTGAATTGATAACTAACAAGCTAGGGGTTGACCCGCTCAGCTGCGTCCCCATCTGTCCCTTAATTTTGGGGGGCCTTTCCAATTGCTTTCAATATTTGAAAAATCAGATAAAATTGAAATTTGAAAAATGAATAATTTTTTGCCTATAAGATGTCAAAATATCACTCATTTTACATAGAACCTAATAAAAAAAACTAAAAAGAAACATTTGGAAAGGACCCCAAAATTAAGGCGTAGCTGAAGTGCTGCCGGGGGAGCTGACACCCAGTGCCTAACTATATTTATATTTCTTACAAAGCAAAAGTTTTGTATTCAAAGAAAGCATAATCACAAAATTAATGCTTGAAAGGCTAAATCCATTTCACGGAAAAAAACCAAAATAATAGAAACTAATCTTAAACTGACACTGGTAGCCTTGACAGAGACATATAACAAAATTAGAAAGGAAGAAAACAGGAACCTGATGGATGAAATAAGTGAAAGATTTCTTTGATCTGCGACCTGATCGGAGGGTGACGAAACCCAGTTGTGCACAGATTTGTATTTTTGAGGATGAAGCTTTTGGAGTCCGCTCAAGTCTTCTCTTTAATATAACAAGCTTCTCCAAATGTTCTTTTCATATTGGGACTCAAACCGCGTTGCTGTCTTCCACTTTGCAAGAATTTTTTAACTGCAGAATCTGGCAAAACTTTGAGGCAGAACATAAATCTAGTTCGCAGATTCAAAAGTTCATGAAAATTTCGAAGATAGTCTAAAAGAATTGGCAAGGAAGAAAATAGATCCGAGGTTAATTGAATTGATAACCTAGGAGCTGGAGGTTGACGCGCTCAGCTGCGTCCCCATCTGTCCCTTCATTTTGGGGCCCTTTCCCATTGCTTTCAATATTTGAAAAATCGTATAAAATTGAAAAGTGAATCAGTTTTTGCCCACAAGATATCAAAATATCACTCATTTTGTATAAAATCTAATAACCAAAAAAAAAAAACTAAGAAGAAACATTTGGAAAGGACCCAAAAATTAAAGCGGAGCTGGGAGTGTAGCCCGGGGAGCTGACACCCAGTGCTTAACTATGTTTATATTTCTCACAGCTCATGTGCTATTTATAGTTCAAAGCAAAAGTTTTGTGTTCAAAGAAAGCATAATCACAAATTAAAGCTTGAACTAAATCCATTTCACAGGGGAAAAAAAATAATAGAAATTAATCTTAAACTGACAGTGGTAGCCATGACAGAGATATATAACATAATTAGAAAGGAAGAAAACAGAACCTGAAGGATGAAATAAGTGAAAGATTTCTTTGATCTGCGACCTGATCGGAAGAAGATGAAACCCAGTGATGCACAGATTTGTATTTTTGAGGAGGAAGCTTCTGGAGTCAGCTCAAGTCTTCTCTTTAATTTAACAAGCTTTTACAAATGTTCTTTTCAAACCGCGTTGCTGTCTTCCACTCTGCAAGAATTTTTTACTTGCAAATGTTCTCTGCAATTGGGACATAGAAAATATTTTTTAAAGTCTCGATTTGAGGGCTTTAACAAACTAAAGTGACTCTAAAATTAGAAAAAGTTTAATACTTTATTAGGATGATGATTGTAGTTTGTTTTTCTGTGTATAATAGATCTTGAACTGGTTTGCTTATCAGAGCTTGATTTAGCTACCAACCCAGTAATAGAGAGTTGGTCTAGCAGTAATACTAGATTTCTTTCGGTTTTGAGTATGAGTAGTCACAAACCCCGAATTGGATCAGTAGATTGCTAGAATCCCAAAAAAAGCACTAAATATTGAATAATAGTTTTTTTTAAAAAAACAATAGCTTGATTTAGCCTGGAATTACGTATCAGATGAAACTTATGGCAGTATTTCTAGTTGAAAGAATTTCACACAACTACTTTTTTTTGGTTTGAAAAAAATTTCTAGTTGAATTTTTTTACATTATTTTTACCAAGTTAAGTAAAGTTCCTTCAATTTGTCAGGCATTTTTACTGTAATAATAAATCAGACTACGAAAGCCATTTCAGCCACAACTTCGTCATGTTTCCCAATAAATGCTAGTCTCTGTCTCTCTTCCTTTGTGCCCAAGTTTCTCAAACCAAAGTCTATATTAAGGCAGAAATTGCAAGATTCAGCAGTCCAAAGAAATAAAGAGATCATTTTCATACTGGATAATTATATTTTATTTGACACATTAATTATTTTTAGAAAACAGAGATTAATTTTTTGACGTATACTACATGAGAAAAGTACCAAAAGAGACTCTGCGATCCAACTCTACGTATTTCATATCTGATCTTGCTGGGAAGTAAGTCACCAGCCTTCGACCAATCCTTGCTTCCATCCTCCGAGAACGCGTCGGACACAGTCCATTCTAGAGTTGGTAAGTTTTTGTCCTATCTCGGTGTGGAAGCCACCTGCCCCCCCATATATTAAAGGCAAAATAATTGTGATTTATAAAATATGAGATAAAAATATGAATTGAGTTTCGTCTCACTTTACCTAAAATGAGCCTTCATCTCCCAGTTGGTAAGATAAACCATATCGCGGGTTTGTATCCTCTCATAATCTTTTTTTCTCTTTTTTTTCTCAGAATCTGATCTCCACCTTTGAATCAAATAATTAATGATTCAGATTTTATATTTTATAAAACTATTATTATAACATTGCATAAATAATAGAGAAAAGGTGGACATCTATTTTTTAAAATATTAAATCTGAACCATTTATTATTTACTCCAACCATGAAGATGAGATTTTGAGAAAAAAATAAGAAAGAAGGATTATGAGAGGATCCAGAACCACCTCATCAGATTATGAAACAATTATTTAGGAGATGACATGTTATTTTTATTAATTTATCAATTTATTCTTGATGAAAATTCATAATGGCTCCAAGGGACATTTTTGTGATTCTACTAATAATAATTCTTGGATGCTAGCCTCGCCTAATCTTCTTGTTCTTTCGATCTACCCCAGCTTGAAGTCATGCCCGTTTGCAAATCATCATCTTCATTCCAAAAATCATCATCATCAAATCTGAAACATTTTTTGTGAAATCATTTTTTCTTATAGCGTTAGCATTAGCCTCTTTAACTCTTGTGCAAGTCCTGATAAAGGCTGAAACAACATCCTCCCTCTTTGCAATGTTTCCTTTAGAGCCTATTTGGTGAGAAGAAAATGAAGGAAACGAAAGGGAAGAGAAAATTTTAATGAGTTTGATTTAAAAGAAATAAAAAAAGTGGAGTTAAAAATTTTTAATTAAATTTTCCTCCTCTTTTATCTTACATATCCTCTTTATCAAAATTTTAGAATCTCATTTCTTCAATTTTTCTAATCAAGCTCATCAAAATTTATTCTCTCTTCTGATTTTCTCGTACCAAACATGGGGTTAGCCTTATTCATTCAAAAAGTCATCACTATGCCGCGTCAATTGCACTCTTGCTTTCAATTTTTGAACTTTTTTGTTGTGATTTTTTTTTCTTTTTTGATGACCTGGATGTGTATATTGAATTGAAGCCCCTTTTTCGGTGAAAGTTGAAAATTCTATTTTTCATGGGTTATAGTGGGGAAAATGAATCTATCTTTTCAAAAAGTAGGCCCATGACTTATATTTAAAAAATATATTTATGAAAAAATTATTTGCAATTTAAAATTAAAAATTAGTGTCACTGGAAATTAATAGGAAAAATTACCAATAAAGACCCCTTAATATGTGAAATTATGATTTGGAACCCTAAATTTGAAAAATAGTTTCAGAAGACCCGCTCTCAAATTGCAAATATGAAATATGGGTGAAATATATGAAATGTTCCTTAGCTAAATGACAAGTTGATTATGAGAAATGATAAGTTTACTTCAATGAATGACAATTTCCGTAGACTAAATCACAACTTGACTGAGGGTATGCTAAATGACAAGTTGACTATGAGAAATGATAAGTTCATTTTAGTGTATGACAAATTCACTTTAGTGAATGACAATTTCAGTAGACCAAATCATAATTTGGTTCAGGGGCGTTTCAAACATTTCACTAAGATTTCATATTTACAATATGAGATTGGGTCTTTATTTATAATTTTTCAAATTAAAAGTCCCAAATCACAATTTCAAATATTAGGCTATCTTTGTTTGCAATTTTTCCAAATTAATATTATATTAAAATATTTTTAAAATAAAATAATATAAAATAAATAGTAAAACAAATATTTAAAAGTTGCTTTGTCATAAAAATAGTTATGATTAAAATTATCGTCTAGTTTATTTTTGGTTTTTAATAATTTATATGTATATATATAATTGTTTATGTAAAAGAATATTTTATATATATATATATATTAAAGTTTGCATAATATCAAATCCTATAATATAGTTTCATATATAAATGGGTTAATACTTAGTCCATTAAACCTTTATTATCAAGATATAACTTCTCTTAACCCATTAATGAACTATATTCCTTTTATTTAATAGTTGATCATTCTGAACAATAGTTCTTACTTATAATATACCTTTCGAAATGTTCTCCTTCCTTTTTTAATTCCAATTAGTTATCTTACTTAGTAACCAGTCATCTTGATCAAATATGTTATTTATATATATTACATTTAAGGACAAGGTGCCCTCCATGCCTCAATCATCCAATCCCAATGAAATAAAATTAATTAAAGTCCAACTTCACCTATTTTGCATG